CCCTCAGTACTCAGGCAGGTGCACTTCTGCTCTCAGCCGCTCCTCCACGCCTAACCTGGCTCCCCTCACCCAAGAGCTGGAGCCTAGAAGCCAGGCTTACTAGAACGCGGTCTTTAATAAGCTGGGCTGTGTGGATGGCAGCAATTCTTGAGGGCTCCTTCTACTTGCTGCTCTTCTGGGAAAGCGGCATTACTGGGTGAGCCTCCTTGGGATGCCCAAGGGTGACAGATTACATGGGAGTGGGTCAAGGACCAGGAGGCAAGCCTGGGTAATGAAAGGTCCATTCACACCCCTCCCCTCCCCTCCCCCCTCCCAGTTCTCCTTCTGCCAATAACACCCACCCTAGCCTTTCAACAACTTCCTGGTAGGGTCCACAGTGCCACCCGAGATGTAACCATCACCCACCTCAGATTTGATTCTGTGGCTGCATCCTCCTCTAAATGGAGATCTCCTACATGGCAGGTTCCTCGTCTGGGTCACTCTGAGCTGGCACAGAATAGGCTCAGTACATTCTGTCTCCTGAGGTGGGACATGGCTTTCCCTCAGCAGAGTAGAAATCTGGGTGTCTGGGTCAACCATGGTGGCTCATATCTGTAATCCCAGCACTGAGTACACTGAGACAGGAGGATTATTGGAGTTAGAGGCCAGCCTGGGGTACCTAGTGAGTTCTGGGCTTGCCTCAGCTATGTAGTAAGGGCCAGGCTAGTTTGACTTCAGAGTAATACCTTGTCTAAATGGGAAAAAAATCAGGTATCCAGAAGACCATATGTTCTCTCCCAGATCCTGCCTGTCTTTAGAAAGTTCTCCCAGAACTCAGCCAGGAAACTAGACTGCACTTGTGTTTTGGAAATAAATACAAACCATTACTCATTTAGGAATCCTTATTAGACTTTTATGTTTATGAAGTCACAAATCCAACTTAGGAGAATATGACCCTGATGGTATCTTCGATCATGGAAATGACTGGGTGTCAAAACTGTGGCTCTCTATCCTACCTATCAAACCCCGTCTTTCTCCTAGGAAAGGGCAGTAGATTCGGGGTGAGTGTCTATTAACACTGGCAGGCGGGAAGGTCAACATACAGGCTCATTGAATATCCTAAGAGATAGCACAGGAGTGAACTGCATGTACCTCCCTTGGAACAATCCAGAGGGCTTTGCCTTGGAGAGGAGAGTCCAACCCAGGACGTATGAACAATAAATAACAACTGTTCTGAGTTAGGTCGAAAACTCTGAGTTGCTTTTTTTTTTCCAGGCTGTTTATGCTAACCACAGTTTTTTTTCTCCCCACTTTCCCACCAGGGCTTATTTTAAAACCTTCGTCCCTCAGTTCCAGGAGGCTGCATTTGCCAATGGAAAGCTCTAGGAAACACCAGTGTTGAGAGGCAGCCAACCAGACTGCTCGGTCCACATGCGTGTCAGCACACAGCCACTTCCTGGAAGCCACTTGGAGTGTCTTCATGGCTCACACAGCAGCTCTGCCTGCCTCACACCGCCCTGCCCTCCTGGAGCCCAAACTTGAGCTGCCTGGTAGTACCCTGAATCCTAGCCACCCATCACTGCTGGTTGCTCCCTCTATCTTTATATTTCTTGGCTGGAAGAAATAAACTCCTTTATCGTGCAGAAAATTTCCAGGGATAATAAAATGTCATGAATGCACACACCCTTTTAAGTCTTTGTCCTAAAGTACTTTTAAAGTTTAAAATTTGGTTGAGTACCCTTGGCTTCTCCCTACTCCACAGAAACTAGTGTTGCGTTTGCGTGTGTTATTTATACCCCAACATTTACATTTTCCAGTTGGGGTAGTCTTCTTCAGGACAAGAAGTGACCACTCCACAGGCCCAGAGTCAGCACTCAGTGACTCTTGGATTCCAGCACTAAATCAGCCACCAGCTCCGGCGTGGACTCTAGCCTTCCCTGGCTCACGGGAGCCCCTGGGACTGTTGTGGAAATCCATGGATCATTTGTGGCAGACAAAAGCTAGGGCTAATGGCTGTCACCAGTGTGTGTCTGACATCTCCCCTCAGGCTGGGCAGCTCCGCAGCCACGGGGTATCAAGGCAGGGGAAGCCAGGTGGATGGTGCAGGCTTGTGACCCCAGCACTCAGGAGAATGGAGCGGGAAGACCACAAGTTTGATGCTAGTCTGAGTTACCTAGCAAGATGTTTTCAGAAGCCATTGTGTCTTTCCCCCACCCCATTCTTTACCACCCCCCTTGGTGTACAGAGGGAAGAATGGTGGCCAGGAGGCTCTGGGAACCCAGCAAAGCAGCAGTGGTGTGGGAAAGAGCAGCTAGGCCACGCGTAGCTTCCCAGCCTCACTAGAGGTGAGTGGCTGGCCTGGCTCCCTCCTGCTCTGTGAAGCTGAGGTTTCCCCCTGCAGGGTACATAGTCCCGCTGGGCCTCTCACCTGCTCCCCTGTTCCTGCAGTGGCTCTTAGAGCCAGGTTTTACCACAAGACCCCAGGAAGGAAGGAACTCTGAGCCCAGTAAGGGGGTACCTTTCCCCCGTACCCCCAGGTCCAGGAATGTTCTCAGGAGGCTAGCGAGGAGCTGGAATAGATGTGGGTGCTGCCCTTGGGAATTCCACATCTCACTCTGCCGTTAACTGGTTGTGTGACTCAAGTCAGTGTGTAACACTAGAAATGGGCTAAACCAGATGGTGGCCTCAGCTCACCAGAATCTCCCAGGGAGCTTTCCAGGGACTCCTTTTCCTGTCCCCACTATAGGACTGTGAGCAGACTCATATGACCAAGAGTTGGAGCATCTAGAGTTTAGTGGAAGTCCCCGGGGAATCTGTTCTGTGGTTCACACTAGATTCTGTTCTGGCTATTCCCTCTCTCAGGGGCAGATGTGTGCTGAGCTCCAAGACCTCCTCTAAGGCAGTGGTTCTCAACCTTCCTAACACTGGGACCCTTTAATACCGCTCCCCATGTTATGGTGACCCCAACCATAACATTATTTGCATTGCTACTTCATAAGTAAAATTTTGCTACTGCTATGAGTCATAAACACCTTTGTCTTTGACCTCAAAGGGGTCTCGGCCTGCAGGTTGAAAAACACTGCCCATGGTCACTTAGGATTATTCTAGCTACCCTGTAACCAAGGAAGGACATGCATTGGGCTTCATTGCCCGCTGAGTCAAGAGCTGATGGAGTCAGGATTCCTTGGGACCTGGCAGGCACCTTGTGCTCTGGGACCTCTGTGCTTCAGATAGAAGAGCCTGTAGCCCTTAGTGACAGTACAGTCTACAACTGTCCCCATCTTGCCCTTGTCAGTCTCTAGGGTTGGCGTGCCCAGGCTAGCCAGATGATTAATGACATCCTCACATCTGAGTGGGGCAGACACAGTCTGTCTAGGAAGCGCTGTCACAGAGAGAGCTCAGGGTAGCTTCACAGCAGACCCGTGATGTAATCGAGTAGCTGGGTTCATGTCCTGACCCACAGATGAGGAAACAATGTCAGAGGGGTTGAATGGATTGCCCATCAACACCAGCCAGGCAAGACTGAGGCCACATCAGAACCCTTGCACAGGTGCGGGGTTACCTGACAGCCACTCTGGAGGATCGGCTATACCTCCCCAGCATGCAGGAGAGCGCCTCCATGACTGTGAGGGCAGAGTCCCCTCCCCTAATCCTTCCCTTCCTAAATCTTCTAGCCCAGTGGCTCTCAACTTCCCTAATGCAGTTCCTCATGTTGTGCTGACCCCCAACCATAAAATTATTTCATTACTACTTCATAATTGTAATGTTGCTACTGTTGTGAATTGTGATATAAATCTCTGTATTTTCCAGTGGCCTTCGGTGACCCTCATAGGGGTCATGACCTACAGGTTGAGAACCACTGCTCTAACCCTTCTCAGAGCCTCTGGGTAGGGCAGAATTGCAGGCACCTGGTTTGGGGGAGTGGCCTCTTGATGCTCAGGTGCTGGTCCCATGGCCCTCCTAGCCCCCTCCTCCCAGCGGGGACATCAGCAGACAGCAAGCCCACCTGTGATGATCGTTGAGGAGCAGGCAGAGCTGAAGAGGGTGGCAGACATCATGGGTCTAGGGAACACAACGAGGCTCTTTTATCTTTCCCAGTAAAGGGTGATACATTATGTGTAGGTTTGTAGGGATGGAGACCATGTTCACAAAGTGTTTAGCTCCCTTACTCCAGTTTGGACCAATCTCCTTAAGGAGAAATGGAAAGCAGAAAATGGGGCCAGAGAGATGGCTCGGGAGGTAGAACGCACTTGCCATGCAAGCTTGATGGTCTAAGTTCAGCCCTCAGAGCCCATATAAAAAAGCTGAATGGCATGGTTTGCATCTGTAATCACAATGCTCCCATGGTGGGACGGGAGACAAACAGACTGGATCAGAAGCGAGAAAACCCTTGCCTCAAAACAAGGTGGGGAGGGGGGAGAGAGCAAAGGGGGGGTGAACCAGGCTCTAGGAAGTTGTCCTGGGACCTCCACACATGCTCCATGGTAAGGCACTCTCTCTCTCTCTCTCTCTCTCTCTCTCTCTCTCTCTCTCTCTCTCTCTCTCTCACACACACACACACACACACACACACACACACACACTTGAAAAACATTGGCAGAGGAGAAAAACCCAGAAATTGACTATCTCTGCTTTATATGGATTCAAACGCCAAGCTGTGTGATTTTTTTTTAATCCCGTGGAGTGAAGGTCCTTGCTTATTTTTACAATTTGTCTGTGGCTTTGCCTGTCCTTCAGGAAGCACTCATTGTACCTGCTCACAGAGTGCAGCTGAGGACTAATTAGTAAATGGCTATAAAATGCTTTCAAGAAGCTCAGTGCCATGGAAAGAGCATTATTACTACCTTGTAAATCCCACCTCCAGTTTACTCAGCCCTCGTAACTTAAAGCAAACCAAACTGCCGCCATCTTTGCTGGGCCTGCTGGGGAAGATCATAACAGGTGGGCTTTGGTTGACAGTTGTTTCCTCTTCCCTAATTGCACGTGGCCCTGCAGCCTCCCAGAAGGGGCCAGAGGATTAGGAAGGGAAGGATTTGGGGAGGGGACTTTCCACACAGCCATGAAGGAGTCATCGTGCATGCTGGGTGCTTTAAGGTCATGAGTGCTCCTTCACCCATTGCTCGGTAAGTAAGCCCTGGAATGAACTTTGGTGGCTCACACCCTGGCTTGACCTTAGGAGGAATGACTAGACAGTAGACATTCACATCTCCCCAAGCAAAAAGTGTGTTTACTAATACTTGAGTTTGCCAATAACTATCCCAAAAGAAGGGGCAATAGACCGTAGTTAGCCAGGGTTCCACTGACATCCAGCAATGTGGCTTCCAAGACCCCACTGCCTACAGCGTGATGAAGCCGATTTCCAGAGACCTAAACTGCAAACAGTGTGAACTTCTGGATGAGAGAAACTTCCATTCAAATCCTAGGTTTGCTCACTTAGCAGCTGATATATACCTAACAACCAACTTACTTGTGATTTAAAGAGGAGAAAAAAAACAAAAGCACAGGGACCCTGAGTGGCATGGTCTGCTTGCCAGTTCCCAAGTGCAAACAACCCCACCAGAGTGAGTTTCGGGCCGCGCACGGGAAGTTGCTAAACAGAAGCAGAGGCCCCCTTGGCCTGGAGCTGGACAGGGAAGCCAGCTGCAGCTACTTTACCTGGGCTTTCTCACCTTTTAAAGTGGGAATAGGCACCAGGTGCCAAGCACCGAGCTTGGCACACAGTCGTGTTTGATAAACAACAGCTTTTATTCCTACAGACTGGAGAAAGGGGTTTCTGGTGTTGATTTTGGCCTTTTTCTAGGAAGTCAGAATACCCCTGTTAAAGAGTTCTGCCCATGAACATGGCCTTTGGAAGGGTGACCCCATCTGGATTACCAGGAAGACAGAATGAGTTGTCCTGTGGTTTAAGGAATGAGAGTCCTTTGTGGGACCCCTCACAGTCTCTCCCTCTCTCTCTCTCTCTCTCTCTCTCTCTCTCTCTCTCTCTCTCTCTCTCTCTCTCTCTCTCTCTCTCTCTCTCTCTCTCTCTCTCTCCCTCTCCTTTCTCTGTCTCTCCTCTGTATCTTTCTCTTTCCCTTCCTCCCTCCCTCCCTCCTATCCTCCCTCCCTCTCCCCTCTCCCATTCACTCACTCAGGCACAGGGAGACAGGTCTTGCTTTAACTCAGCTGGACCCCTGGGCTGCCCTGCAGAACCCCGACCCAGTGACCCACTTCTTCCCCGGCCCTGCTTTCCCATAGCAAAGCAATCAGAGCAAGGCAGCTCACTCTCCCTCTGACTCAGTTTCAGTTCCTGCCGGCTACAGACTCTCAAGAGTGACAACTTTGCCAGCACAGTGACAGCACTGGGCTTGCTTCTTGCCTGGTGTTAGAAATAGAAGCAGCCTGGGAACCTGCTCCAGTCCTGAGGACAGGCTCATCCCGCAGGAAAGTTAGGAGCAGAGTCTAGTGGTGAGATACCATGTTGCTATTAATAGCATCATACTTGATTCATTGTAACTTTTACAAATGAAAACAAGAATTAGCACCTTCCTTTACCTATCTACAGCACTTGGGTACAAGGCAAAGAAAGTAAGAGTTAGGTGCTAACTAGAGATGGGGAGGGGGAGTCCACAGACACATACACTGTTTAACTTCTCAGAACAACTAAATAATATAGGTATGATCCTAGCCTCACTTTTTGAATAAAACACTAAGGGTGGGGATTTGGCTCAATGATGAAGCACTTACCTAGCCTAGCAAAGATCTGCATTCCATCCCCACTGCTGCAAGAATCAGATCAAATACACAACTCACCAAAGACATGAAGCCACTAACTCAGCTTCCTCTCCCTGTCTGACCCCTCCTGCCTCTCCTTCCTGCCCTTTCTTCTTTCCCTTTTCCTTATAGCACAAGGAATTGATATAGTTCCCTGTTTCTTTGCACTTGCCCAGCCCAAAGAGACTCTCTGATTGACGTGTGTTACAACAGGCCCGGCATGTAACGCTTATACATAGTCACAAGAGGCTTTAGGCAATGGCCAAACAATTCTTCCATGGGATTATATCACCAGCAATGATGTAGCCATCTTAGTTTTCATAATCCTCTGTTGTGATGCCCACATAGCCACAAAATCACCCAACATTACATTTCTCAGATTATGTCAACACCATTAAGTGACTTGTTGCTGCAATTGTTTTTGACATTTCTCCCATGAGAGGGGCTTGTTATGGTGGGTCCTGATCTAAAACCACAATAGCTGGAGTCCGGCCCTGGCTCTGAGGTCAGGCTGACCACAGTGGATGATTCTACAGGAAAGGACTGAGAAGCTGTCTGTAGTAACACTTGCCTGTAATTCTTGCACTTAGGAGATAGGGACAGGAGGATCAGGAGTTCAAGGTCATCTTCAACTACATAGTGAGTTTGACAGCTTGGAATATATGAGAACCTGTCTCCAAGAACCAAAACAAACCAAAAAGTACTTGAGGGCAATCTTTGTATATGTGTCTAGGATGTCTGTGTGGCTACATAAATGTGTATCATAACAGCTTATTTTCAGAAGGTTAAGCTATAACAGCCCAGGAATGAAACAAACTATAACTTCAAAGTCAATGCCATGTTTGCAAGTCGAAAGTCCAAACACTTTACTATCTGGGAAAAAAACCCAGGATGAGAATTGTTAACAACATTACAACTACCAAGGAAATTTACCCAGGAATTACCAAAGGCCTCCAGGTCTATGGAATGGTTCCAGGTTAAATATGAAGTAATCCCAATAGTTTTAATGAATATTTTCCTTCTCTAGGGTTCTGAGCTTTACTCTTGCAATATTCTCTCAGCCCTTTAGAAGAATCCCACTTTACAAGTGTGGGAAGTCATGCTTAGGATCATGACAAACCATGATAATCATGGCAGTAAAAGTAGCCCCAGAAATAGCCAAGACTCATCTAGTGTGACCCATCTGCTCTGGGCAACTGCCTTTGCAGGACCTTGGGATGAGCAGGATGACATCTGGAGGCCCTATACACAGACACCCCTGTCCAGTCAACAGCACACCCCCCTTTCCTGGTGTCTCCCTGCAATAGCCCTGGCACAGAAGTCTCTCCATTCGAAAGTCTCTGGAACATGTCTTTTGCGTCACTGGGAAAATGAGTTCCTTTCGATTCTGGCATCTCACATCCGTCCCCTCATGGAACTATCCTGAGTGATCTTTGGCAAAGAGTAGAGGAAGGTACCACCTAGCACTGCAGGGGTGTGGGGGCATGGGTGTTGATGGTGACCGTTGCCCTCTCCCCTCTCAAACACAGGGCATGGTATCGCAGGACCTGTCCCACGTGGTTCATGTCTGCCACCTTCTTGGTCTTGTGACTTTCTGAGACCCTTGATAGACCAGTCCTGCAGACAGCCAAAGGAAGGCACTGGAGAAATGCCTGGGAAAGCCATTTGAGTATCGATGTGTCTGCAGAATGCTGGTTACCCAGGGTCAGTGAGAGAGGACAGTGAGAGAGGACATAAGTTCAAACAGGCTTGGGCAAAGATTGACTGGGATTTGATACCATGTTTGGTATCTGAGCAAGGGTCAGCCTCACACTGGGGAGATGCCTTGCCTACACATGCAAACATGTAGAGCCAGGATTCGGAGAACTCGGTCCCCCTCATGCTGCCTCAGCACTCCAGCCAGACCTGAAGTGTAGTTCAGGTGGGAGAAGAGCTCATGTTGCCCCTATGCTGGTGACTCTCCTGGCGTGGGCTGTGGATTACACAACCCAGATGGCTGCCTGCCTGGCTCCCCCTGGGGCACCTGCCTCACCTCCTCTCACCCCAGACCCAGCAGCCCCCAGTTTCACCCACTACCAGAGTCACGTATGAAACTCACGCTAGACTGGAGCCCAGCACAGCCGCATTAATGCTCCAAGCTAATTAGCTGGTCGGAGTTGAGGCCTGTGGGCTCTGGAGCCAGCCAGCCTGAGTCAAATGCTGGCTCCACTGCTTCCTAAGTGCATGAACTTGAGCAAGCCACTTGACCTCTGTTTCCTCCTCTGCAGAATGGGGCTGCACAATCTGATGGGGTCAGCAGAAGAGCTCAATGAGTCGGGACATGCCCAGTGCCCACAGTACACCCATCCGTTCTTAGTATCCATGGAGACTAACTCCACTTGCCCCACCCAAATCTACAGGTGCTTAAGTCCCTTATAGAAAACACAAAAGTATTTGCATACTGCTCTTGAACACCCTATCATGCGCTTTAAACCACTCCTGAGTTATTTGTGATACCCAGTATAGCATAAACACAATCTAAATAGTCGTTACACTGAATTGTATGGGGAATAAGGATGAGAAAGAAGTCTACGCATGCTCAGCATGGATGCAGGGTCTTTCTGAATATCCTCGGCCTGTGGCTGGATCCGGGGACATAGAGCTTAGCCACACAGGACAAACAGTACTCCAGAACCTGCCTTCTTTGTGATCTCCACCAGGAACTGCCCCAGGTCCTCCTTGTCCTTTCAGCTCCTTTTTTGTCTCATCTCTCAGCCCTTTAGCATCAGCTAGCCCATTTCACCAAACACCACCCCTTCTACCTAACCACTGCTCACCTGCAGGTCACCTGGGGTGCCTCCAGCACCCGCACCAGCTGCTCAGAGAGCTCAGCAGCTTGACCTGGGACCCTTGTTAGCATGGGTTTGTTTTTGAAATCAGTCCCCATACAAACCTATTAATGAATGGCTTTCATACTAGCCGACTAAGATCTTCACTGCATGCCAGGCAGCGGTGGTGCACGCCTTTAATCCCAGCACTCAGGAGGCAGAGGCAGGCGGATCTCTGAGTTCCAGGACTCCAGTCTGGGCTACAGTCCAGGACAGCCAGGGATACACAGAATAACCTGTCTCAAAAAACAAAACAACAAAAAAAGATTTCCATTACACACTGGAGACTCCCACGGCCCCCCAAAACTGGCATGCTTTCCCATCCAACTGTGAGCCTGCTGTCAGCAAGAGTCCCTTCTCTCTGGGAGACACAGTGACTCTGAACCTTCTGTGGTGAGGACCTCACTGCCAGGCCTCCAGCTCTGCTGCTGTCCCTAGAGCTGTGTGTTCTAGGCCAGACCGTGCCCTGGCTGAAACTGGGTTTGACTTAATCTGGAGAGGCAGAGTGAACACACAGAGGGCCACCATCTGTGGGAGGCTCCCTGGGAGGAGTATCTTCTCTCTTTCACATCAGCCATCCAAGGTGGGAGCCCCAGAGTCAGAAGCCCAGCATGGGGAACCCTAGGGTCAGGAGCCCTGCATGGGGAGCTCCAAGGTTGGGAGTAGGTTTCCAAGACTGGGATTGAATGAATGGTAAGATCATCCCTGTCACCAGACAGCCAGGCAGGTAAGGCAGGGACATACCTCTGCCACTGACCATGGCTTAGGATGCAGGATCATAACCTAATGAGAGAATAGAAGATCATCATTGTTTATAGTTGTGGCCAGTGGTGGGGGAGAGACAGACTTCCTGGAGGAGGGGACCAGCTGGACAATTCAGTTCCAAGTCCCTTGACTTCAAAGATACTTTATCCTTTTGTTCCATTTGGAGCATAGGACATGTTCCCATGCAATTGATTATTGAATTCCCACAAGAGACATAGTTTCTGCTCTTCCCCCAAACTGCCCCATTCTCAGGCCCAGTGGGAGCCTGCCAACAGCCTTCCCACACAGGGGAAGTTTGTCCTCTTGGTGGCGTTTGTTCCTGCCTCCAGGGGTGGCAGCAAGGGGCAGGGTGATGGGAAGACTGTCCCCCGCTGACTGGCTGCTCTCTGGGCTGGGGTGGAATCCCTCACCTGTAAGCACAGCCTGCTGCACAGGGTGGCGATGAGGATGGGCAGACACCGTCTGGGGACTGCTGGCAATCTGCTTGTGTGGCAAACGCCACCAGTTTGCCCTGGTGGTTCCCGCCCAGTGCCGACTCCTTACTGCTGCCAGGCCAGAGCAGCCCAGGCCTGATGGCTGTGCCCCAAGGAGTTGGTAAAAATACCACAAAGTACAAAGGAAACAGGGGTCACGCCCATCCTGCTGCTCTCCCCGGGCTCAACCTGTCCTGCCCAACCCTAGGTTGCCACGGAGAGAACAACGGTCTGTGGGTTGGCAGAGGCTGCCTCCACTCCTGCTCAGTCCCTGGAGGGCCCACCCTGAGTCCCACCTGGAAGCTCTGCCGCCAGGTCCTAGAAAGAGACACCTGGACAGGTGTCACAGCAGCAACATGCTTCCCATGTCACACCCATCAAAACTTAGCATTGGGGTCTTTTCTTCCTTATAAAAGGAGCAGAACACAGAAATCGCCCATTACCCTGCCCTCCTGGGATGGCTGTGTTTACTCTGTAACTGTGCAGTTGTGTTCAGCAGATTCTTTGTATCTCTTCTATGACTGGACTTAATATCCCAACAGAGACCTGAGGAAGGAAGAGGCTTAATTCCAGTCATTTTTCTTGTTTGTTTTGAAAACAGCACAAGCCAATTTTCTATCCTGTTTTATCACTTAATGTTACTGAATACATTTTTACTATCTTGCTAACACACACACACACACACACACACACACACACACACACGCCTACATACCTTTCGAGTATCTACCTAAGAATTCGCATTCTTTTTCCCTTCTTTTGGAACATTTGAAGAATTTCTTGATTTCCATATTAGAAATATATCCCATTAAGAATGACTTCTATTTTACTGTAAGAGGTACTTGGGTCAGGCTGAAATTCAGCAATTATGTGACAAATCACAGGAAACAAGGAGTGGAATGGCAGCGCCAACCCAGGCCTCAGAGACTTGGGGACAGGGAAGCGTAGGAGATTGCACTAGAATATTCTGGTAGAGCTGTGGTAGGAACTCGGAGTGTGTATCTTCAGTGAGACAAAGAGGTGGGCACTGTGGAGACACGGGTAGTCCTGTGATGAGTGAGGGAGAGCAGGACAAGGTGACATTAAGGAAGGTGACTAATGTGATGGTGAAATTATCATCCTTTGGGGGTCAAAGGGTGGGCCTTGGAGCAGACGCAGTAAATAGGAAGAGATGGAAGCTAGAACCTTCTAGAAACCCTTCAAGCACTGAGAGTGGTGGGCACGGCAGACAGCAGGGAAACCAAGGGGCTCGTGGCCCGACAACATACACTCTTGGAGGACACAGCAAGGTGGTGGGGAAGGAGGGAGGGGCTAAGGCCTCCTGCATTTCACTGGCTGCTTTGAGATCCCTGGGGAGGGAGGTAGCCTGGAGACTTGGCATGGCCACCAGGCTGGGGCCCCCAGTGGAGTCCAGAAGCCTGTATCAGCACACATGTGTGAGTTGGGGGAGAACAGCAGTGTCCACTCCATCTCAGAGACTCAGGGAAAGTGGGATGCCCTCCCCTGCCAGTCAGGGAGACCTGAGGCCTGACCTGAGCAAAACCCAGTCTCAGTGGCCAGACGGAAGCACGGACAGCCGGGAGACAATGACTGAAGTTCAGGGTGGCAGAGGTGGAATTCACAGTCGCTTCTGCCTCCCTGACTTCATTCGTCTGTACCTGATAGTGGTAACAGTACCCGTACCTGCCCAGCAAACGCAAGTGCTGACAGGAGATAAGGGCTCCACCAGGCCTGGCATCTGTTGGTCACCCAGAGAACTAGAACAATTGTCACACTCCTTGATGCTACGAAAAAGCCCCCCCCGCCTGCCCCAACTCTACCCAGCCACACCAGAGGTGTGTGGGGAAACCTCATCCTGGTCCAGTGACTGAACCGGCTCCTCAGCACCTCCATCTAATGAACCAGTACACCACTGAGGTCACCTTGTGCATCCTGGGAAGGCCCCAGCCACCAACCTCAGTGACCAAGGGGATGGGGCCTTCTGTGCTCCCCTCTAGAATACTTGCTGGGCATTGAGGAAACCCTCTAAGAGGCCTCAGACCTGGCCGACACTATAGAAAAGCAGCTGTGTTCCACGAGAGTTATGGAAGAGGATCCTATTAGGAGAGGCAGAAAGAGCTGTTGAGGAAAAACCCAACCAGAACTCCACTGAGGCAGACCTTGGCATTAGAAGGCACCAGACCTATCCGGCCACTCTAGTCCAAGGCCTTCAGCCCAACTCTGCGTCATGATAAATCTGTGACCTTCTGACATGCTGTGTGTACATTCCATGCCAAGGCCCAGAGCCCTTCGAGGCCTCTCGTACATCACTGAGGGCCAGAGGATTGACTAGGCTCTGTCGGGTGGACTCCACAAACTAGGGTAAGACTTCGGCATAAATTCTCCTGCTGGTACCCAGTCCTCCTCCCTGGTACCCACGGTCATGGCAGAGGTGAGATCGTCTGCCCTTGTCAAGGCCTGACCAAGGCATGGTCTTGATGTGGAATTATCCCACTCCAGGTTGTACCTCCCTCCTACGCCGTCCTGGCCAGCCCAGGAAGCCCACAGAGGAGGGGGGAACATTGCTAGGAGTGATTTGACAGGGACAAGTATCTCTGTTAGCTTTCTATGACTGGACAGTCCCAAGGCAGCAGGCATCCATTCACGGTTGATCCCAGCACTCCTTTTGGAGGTAAGATTGCCCCCCCCTCCCCCCCCGCCGCCTCCACCATAGACTCAGAACCTCTCTGGCTGCCTTACAGGCCAGCCAGGGGCTGAGGCTGGAGTCCTGTGTCTGGTCTCCTTTCTTCCAGGGGCTCAAAGCATTTTTATAAGCATCCATAGCCTTCATCCACCCCAGCTGTTGTCTTGTTTGCTCTTTATATTCTGTTATTAGCTGAGGTGTTGTGTTTAATCCTCAGGCACCCAGCAAGGGGGAATTCCCCCACACCAAACGTGGAGGAGGCAAGGACGCAACACCCCGCCCCCCCGCGGTGGCTGGGACTCTCGAGGCAGGCCAAAGTCCCACACCAAGGTTGCGCTCAGGCCCCCTTTTCTCCACAAGTGCCTTCCGCAACCTGAGAAAGCGTCCCTGAGAAGCTGCCCCAGTGGGGTGAACTAGGGAAAGAAAGGTAAGAGCATGCATGTGTGTCAAACACGGAGGCAGAAGCCCGGCCGGCCCCGTCACTTCCCGTGTGAGTGGAACACACGGCCGAGCCGTGAACTGCCCGGAGCTAGCAGGAGAGCGTTGTACACGCTAGCGCCCTGCTTATTCTCCGTAGCGTCACCGGGTGGGCAGGCTACCCCATGAGATGTCCAGCCCAGGCTTCTGATGCTATGATGAAGAAAACTGGTTTCCGCTTCTCACTCGGCCCTGCCTGAGCCCAAAAGAGCAGAGGGGAAAGCAGGGGAGGGAAATGGGTCACAGACTTTGACCTGGGGTCTCAGAGTGGCCCAAGTAGAAGGAGGTCGTTGGGAACCCCCACTTGGGAAGCCTGAGTTACCTCAGGTCCTTCACCTCCAGAGTGCCCACACTGAAAAGTCTACCACCCTGCAGGGGCACGCTGCACGACCGTCTTCCTTCACCAACACAGTGCCGGCTGCCCTGAGTGTCAGCACCCAAAATTGTCTCCTCCTTGCTCTACCTGTGGGAAGACCATCCCTCTCCACAGGGGCCACGCCTGCCCTGCTAGTGGAAGAGAACGCCCTTATTCCTAAACATGCAATGTTAATGGCAACACAGACTCCCCAGTCCCTCTTCTACAATTCCAGATATCTCCAGGCCCTGAAAAGGTTTCCCCATAACTTATTTAGCAAACCCTGGCCTAAGTAGACATGAGACTGCCTGTAGACCTCCCCCCCCACACACTTTGGGTGAATATCCCATGCTTTCAGGGGGGAGGTAACCCTGTGTTTGATCATGGCATTATCCCAACCTTGCTGAATTATCGATGGCATTAGAATATGTATCGTATTATTTTTCTTAAAGTCCAGAAACAGGAATTCTGTGACACATGGTCACATTTCTGTTGCGCTCTGACAAGCCTGCCTTCACCAGCCCTGAGCATTGGGATCACCGGATACCAGAGGCTGTGCTGAGTGCTCAGCAGGCTTCAGTTCCTTTGACCCCAGCAGCTCTGTTTATTTCCAAGTGGTCGATGGAGAAACTGAGGAACCTTACTGGAGTCACATTAGTTAACTAAGAGATACTGCCGTCTTGAATCCAGGGAGCTGGGGACTTCCGGAGCCAGTTATATCTGTTCCTGCCTACTGGGGGCAACTGGAGACCCCCAGAAGCAGCCCAGAGTGCCAGCCTGCTCAGATTGAACCTGTCCAGCCCACCCGGGAGGAGCTTAGCACAGAAGTTCCCATGGAAAGTTTGAGATTTCATGGAATTGAAACCAGATAGCTCCTCATAAACACAGCCCACCATAAACACAGCAGCACGGGGTCTGGCTGTGTGGTGCCCTCTCCCTCCTGTTCCCAGCCTGTTCCAGGCAAGGACACTGCCCCAGGCTGCAGACAGGCCAGTGGGACAGGAGCTCATGAGCCTTGGACACCAGACAGGCAGGGCTGGATGGTGGAAAGGAACAAGAGACAGTTCTGTTCTGGGAGAGGAGTGTCCCCAACACTTTCCCTGGTGTCGTCTGTTTTTGAGTTTCTGGATGAGCAGAGAACCTGGAGAGAATGTTCTACTCTGTTCTTTCACTCACTTGTCCCCTCCACACTTCACCACAGACAATCAATCATGAGTGGAACCGAACCACCATAGTAATATCCCCTGGCCTAGAAATCAAGTCCACTGCTGTTCCTAGGAGGAAGAGACCATCAGGGAAGCCTGAGCCCGGGCTAATTGCTGCATGTATTGGGAAGCGAGGGGCTGGGAGATGGCTCAGTGATCAAGTGCTTGCTGTGCAAGCATGAAGACGTAGGCCCCGGTTCCCAGCACGCATGAAAAGGCTGGGTGCACCTCTAACCCCAGTGCTGGGGTCCCAGGCGCTCTCTGACTAGTCAGTCCAGCCAAAGTGACATTCTTCGGGTTTGGTGAGAGACCTGACCTCCCAAAGTAAGACAGAGAGCTACTGCTTCATCTGTTGAAGGTAGTCGAGCTCCACCTCCAGCCTCCATGTGCGCATGCACAGGTGAGCACACTTGCATACACACACATGCATACACACACCACATGCAAGCACATGCAAAAAGAAGTCATCGTTGAATTAATAGCAATTGCCGAGACCTAGCGTTGTAGTTATGTGAGTTTTTCTCTTATCATCTGGTTGGAGATAAAGGCAAAGGTAATTGTGCACAAAATAATACTGTGTCTGGGGCCGTTTTAAACTAATGGAACAGTAAAATGGAAGCCAGAAGAGTGAAGATGTTCTGATGAAATTCTAAGGTGATTGGTGGGCTCACGGGGGTCCTGGCACTGCCTTTTCCCCCTTGTATGTTTGAACAGTATCAAATGCAAGATAACATGTAGCACCCTCGTGACTTTCTTCACTCCCTCCTTAGAAGTCCCTTGGTGCGGGGACACCCTGCATATGGAGATGACTGCATAGGTACGGAGGCCTCAGGCCAAGGCAGCTCACACCGAGCAGCAGTGGCACCCCAGCTGGTACAGGAGGATACTCCCTGCGCCCTCTCGTCCCAGGATCCATCCATCCACTCACTGGCTCCATTTCGTCCTCCAAGGTCTCTCTCAGATTCCCCTCTTCAGCCTCTTTTCTCTTCGGCATTCGTCCAAGCTGCCACCCTTCCCCGAAACCTGGTGGTCATCCAGGCCACCTCCTCTTCCCCTCAGCCCACCTCATACTCCTTTTCTCAAGTCCACACCCTTAGAAGTGGAGAACATCAAATGGAGGCTCGGTGGTCAGAGCTAAGCATACCCGGTCCCTGCCCTTGGCCTCCCAGGCAGGGACACCAAAGCCAAATGCAGGGATGGCCCCGCCAGACGTCCTGCTTATGGACAATGCAAGGGATGTGCCGTCTGGGTGTTGGTGACTGGCCCTAACCATCCTGGTGGTTGTAGATGCCACTTTAAACAAGGACCTGCCAGTGCCTGTGAGAGCCCGGTCTCTGTCACCAAACCCAGTCCTTTGTAGAGACGACAATGGTGACCTAGGGTGGAGGCGGCTTGGTTCCTCTGGAGTTCCGGAGCTAAGGGCTACAGCTAGATGCCTGGGCAGCTAGACGGCGAAAAGAATGTCAGCCTGCTCCTTCCAGAGAAACTCCCAGCTGATCAGTTCCCCTGGCAGGGGACAGGGCAGAACTAGAAAGAACCCAAGAGGCAAGCCTGCTTCTCCTGAGCCCCTAGTCCCAACCCTGTTTAATACTTCTGTCTCCACCCACTGCTTAATGAAGAAAAGGGCTTTTCCGGACCCCTCCCCAGTCCCTTAGCCGCTACACGCAGCTTGAGCAGGCCCCACAGGACCTTGAAAACCCAGCAATTTGATTTTCCCAGGCCCCTCCTACCCCAAGCAGGGCCCAGAAGGCAGCTCCTCAGTCACGAATATGCCTGTGCGGCCAGCTCCAAGCCTGGGCCTCTTGCCAGGGGTGTTAGAAGGGAAAGCTGGGTTTCCACACTGTCCCCTGTGTCTCTGGATCAGGCCTCACTGCCCTTACCAGTGTGTCTTCTCCACCTCCAAGTCACCCCTGCGTCTCCTGGTCCAGCTCAGGGCCTGCCTGCCTTCAGAGAGACGATTAGATGAACCCCACCTTCTGTTGATGGGGATACAGAAGACTGGCTGATGAGAGATCAGACTAGCCAGAGACGGGGAGGGGGGAGGGGAGGAGAACGGAAGGGGACCTGTGCAGGCAACAGGGGCCACTTTGGAATGGCTGCTGACATTCAGCAAGGACTTGCCACAGTGCCCTGGGACTCTGGCCCTACAGTCAGTCAACAGTATGGATGCGCCTGCTCCAGCAGAGGCCGAGAATCCCCGCCAAGGATGGAGCCGCCCTGCCTGGTTTCCTCCCAGGCTGTTCTGGAGACCACCCAAGCGGCCTCTGTCTGCTTGGGTTAAGCTAAACTCACTGTCTCCAAGCCGTGAAGGTCTTCCTCTCTGGACTACTAAGCCCCAACAGCTGACCATGGCACGCACCAAGGCCACGGGAATTGAGGTGTAAGAATGGATTAGAGCAGAAGACACTGACGCAGCTCCCACCTGGACTAGCTCCTGAGAACCCTGGTCTGGCCTGGACTGAAGGCAAGACGACTGTTGCCTGGCGCTGCTCTGGCCTTGGCGTCTGCCTGGCTCTTCATTCCATTGCTGCTATGTTGCTCCTCTCATCAGCACCAAGAGTTCCACTCAAGATGGCCCCCTGCCTTCCCTCTTCCTGCTTCCCAGTCTGCATCCCACCAACATCCTACCTAGGTCCTATTCAGATCCCTCCTGCACTCCATCCTCTGCGTGTGTATACATCTTGCTGGAATATCCATCCTTTTGGCCCAGGTCTGAGATCCTGGTACATTGTGGACAGGGCCATGGGACCAGATTCCAATGCTAGCTGGTTGACCTCCGAAGCCTTATTAAAGAGGAATATTAAGGCCAATTAATGGACCGTTTGGTAAGGACTGAATGATATGTGAGTGGCTGTCACACTGGGATATTCAGTAAGCATAGTGATCGTGTGATGATGTGACCAGGCCAGTGGCCACTGCCCCATCATTATCTCTGAAAGGGTGCAGTTCTTTGAGGACTGGGTCAACTTTTCTGTCTTCTGTCCAGTCCTGCACTCTTCTAGTGCCCTGTGCGAACTGCCCAGGAAGAGGCCCAGTGAGAAACTGGTTCATGTGGAAAGAGATGGGTCCCACTGGGAGGGCCCAAGAGCTGTCTCTCATCCAGCTCTGGACAGATCAGACTTGAGGCAATCATGAATTGCTTTGGTTACTTTGTATTCACAGACAGGAGTTGCCCCTGTTCCTGCCTCCCCAACCCTGCCCCCTGACCAGACCCCACCCATGACCCTCCACCCCACCCCACCTCACCTCACCTGCTATAGGACCCATCCCTTCTCTGCTGGGTAGAAAGGAGAGTTGGGAAAGGTAGGCTGAGGGGCACTGTCTCCAGATTTAGGTTGTCTTCCAGTCTCTTTCTGTAGAAGGTGAGTCAGGGCTCAGAACCCTGAGGTGGTCAACAGTAGCACTTGGGGACTTCAGGTCAGGATTCTGGGTACTGAAGCTCCCAGATTTCCTCATGACTGTCAGGAACCCCCATGCTTAGAGAATCGTATCATTAACTTCTGTAGAACAGGCAACCTTCCCTTCCCTTCAGGCATTCTGGGTCGCCTGCATCTTGGCCAAGTGTGAGGATCCTCTCACAGCCCCAGATGCCCTCCCTGAACCTTCCACCCTGAGTCAGAAAAGACATTATTTCCCCCGGGCCAGATGAAACTTTGAGTTCTTGGCCTTTTCTGGTTTATCTAGAGGAAGGGAAATGACGTCATGAGGTAAACCACAGGCTGGGTGCCCCACGAGCTTTGCTTTCCAGCAAAGTCACTTGTGCATGCAGAGGGGACAGGGAGTCAGGGTCATTCTGGGTAGAGATGGGCGGGGTGGCAGCAGGATTTTTATCACGGAACTCCAAGAAGGAAGGGGTTCCCAGAGATGTCAGACACAGAGGCCAGGCAGGGTAAACACAGGGGTGATGTGGGCACCTTGACTTTTCTATGGGGCAGATCAACTGCTCAGCAGGGCAGGCTAATAATGGCTGGCTGCTCACAGGGTCCCAAGTTGACCTGTGTAGAATTCGAGATCACATTTACCATAGCATAAGAAGAGTGACAAGAATAAGAAGCTGAGCACCTCATGCTGTTAATGTCTCTATCATCTCCTTTCCATGGCCTCCTGAGATGGAACCCCTGGAAGGAGGCATTCCTCGTGCACAAATGAGCAGCAGGAAGCTGGTGACTCCCTGGCCAGGGCTCTGTATACAAAGCTTATTTGGAAGCAGGCTGGCAGCGTCTGCTTGAGTCCTGCGCGACTGACCGGCCCCCCTCCTCCGAGCACCGGCTCCCATCTGCTACCTGTCCCCTAGAGAAGACTGCTGCCCTCAGCAAGTCTGGGCCTTCTCGTCCTTCACCCTGCCTCATGGGTGAGTTACTTCCTTTTGTTAATTCTTTATAAGACAAACAGTCCATGGGAAAGGGAGCTCAAAACCCTTCCGTGTTAGAGCACAGACTGTGGAGACCACATAGCCCAAGCCCCGCCCTTTACTGGAAGGACAAGGATGCAGCTAGGACCACATGGTTAGCAGGGACTGAGCAGCCGGGCTCTGCCTTGGCGTGGTTCCCCCTTCCCGTCACTGCTGCCATCTCCTTAGCCTGCTTCCTTAGCCCATCGGCAGGAGAGCACAGAGAGCCTTATGAAGAAGCGACCTGCAGCTCACGCTTCCGGCCGAAGATCAAAGTGCCA